CGCTGATGCCAGAGAAGGGATCCTTGCCCGGCCAAATGGTGACTAATTTGGATGTCCCCCCCCAAGTGCTCTGATTAGGATTGTCCCTGTTCGCTCTCTCTCTCTCTCTGGCATCTCAGGATATCTCATATCTCAGATATCTCAGGACTTGTCTCAGGCTGCTTTCCCCACCCTAATCTATTTCACTAATGTGAAGCACTATGGATTCCCAGGTGCTTCCCCCGGACTTCCCCCCTCTCTAAATAAATCTGCAACATTTTTATTATATAAATCATGATTTTCAATGGTTGGCTAAAACCAGACTTCACAACTCTATTGGGTTGTTTGACTTATTGAGCAAATGCCAAGCTTCCATCGTTTGCTCCGACAAGAAAAGCGGTCTGTGTTGTTGCTGCTGCTGTGCACGTGACTGGGAACCAGCCATAAAAGCCGCTTTTGACCAATACTTTTTGATGTAATACTCCAGAGGCAAAACCTCAAAGTGCACCCAACTACTGAAGTCACTCATCCAATTCAAGTGGTTTCATTTGCAGAAGCCTCCTTCAATACCTTCATTTCATGTTCTAATTCTAAGACAAGAAACTGATCGGCAGAACTTTGTGACTACCTGCCATCGTAGCCCGGCTAGCTTTACCGAAAAGTTCAGGAATTGCAAATGGTCACCAGCCGCAATGCCTTCTTTACCAATGCAGGTTGCAATGAAGCGCTCTCGAGTCTGCTTCCTGACCAAAAGCCTCTCCAAGCACCGGAGTTCAGATAGCAAATCGTTCCACCTGTTGCTGCACCACTTGGCAACAATATCACATAGTTGGGTTTCCCGTACTTGACTATACTATGCCCAGACCCAGTCCAATTAAGCTCAGTTCAATTACAATTTGGAAACGGTGTGTGTGAGTCAGTCAAGCAAATTCATCATCATCATCATCATCATCATCTCATCATCTCATCATATTCTTGAGATATATGAATCATAGTATGCATAGATACATGCCGCCGTTGATTCCCCAAAACTTGCTAAAACTTGCTAATCTGTTTGAGCGAGCCGCAGGCTCATTCTTGGCATGATGTCCTTCAAGGCGTTATCGCACACATGCTTCACGCCATGAATCAAGTAGGCATTTCTAAACTGAGCATGGCAAGCTGACGCTTCACTTGACTCTGACTGAGCCTGAGCAGCCTCAGCCTGAGCCTCAGAAAAAGGTGCAGCACTGATTGTATCTGAAGGTGGTGCAGGTGCAGGAGCTGATGCCATCAGCGCAACTGGGCAAGTGGAACTGGAACTACCGGTTGTGGCACTGGCACTGGCAAGCATAGGATGAGGATGCCTCCCAGAGTGACTCTTGTCAGTCCAGTTCAAGTACCAGCCCAGCAACCACCCAACAAGCAACAACCAAGTAACTAATTAACCCAGCAACCACCCAACAAGCCCAAAAACGAAAAGTTCATGAGTCGAAACAAAGCACGGCTGAAGCTGAATGGAGACTGAAAGGTTGCCATCAAGTTCACCATCTTCTAGTTCCAAGCCAGTCGCTGGCAACCCAGGCAGTGCTGCTACAGAAGGCGCGCAACCTCCCTGCAATGGCTCAGTATCCAAAATTGCAGCCGTCTCGCGCCAAATCTCTTCGATGGACATCTCCTTTGCAGCTGCGACCTTGCTCTCTGTTCCTCACTTGCGACCCTGGACTCCAGGACAGCCGCAATGATAAACTATGGCTGACTTCACTAATGACTGACTACTGATGACAAATGACTATACAATCATAATCTGACATCTGACAGACATCTTTACATGTGCATAATATAATGTGAACATGAAATATGAAGTGGCTGGCTGGCTGGCTTGTTGTTTCCAGAAAGTGTTGCGGTAACATGGAATGGTAGAATGGTAGCAGTAGCCAGTAGCCACCCACTAAAATCACTAGAAAGGCAAACCAGCTGATGATGTAGCCGAGATTCCCTGATCTGTGACACAAGAAATGACTTGGTCACAGTATTGTCTCAAGCAGGTCTGTCGGTCGCCAAAGCCAGCCTCCAGTAGAATCGCCCAAATCAAGGATTCCAACTTGCATGGAAAGGAAGTAGCTCCTGAAAGGAGCCAGGCCAGCGGCGGCCAGTCAGACATCATTTCTATTGTCAAACATTCCATGACCCTAACGCCTAAAGCCTAACTGCTGACCTAATTCCATGACATAAGTAGCTAAGCCTTACATACATCACAAAGTAACTGGCATGCATTCTTCGACCATTTAATCCAATCTTCTGAAAACAGGTGATTCCTTGTCCCAAGACCATCAGCGGCAAAACCCGTCTCGTGACCGACAAAGGAGGTGGACGTGCAGATGGTTCCGACAGTTCTGAGTCATCTGCGGGTGCATCATCAATCATGTCATCTGAAGATGTCAACCACAACGACTCCAAGAATGTAGCAGTTGCGCTGGACACCCTTGGTGGTGGCAGGAATCATCAACATGGTGGACATGGACCATCAACATCATCCTGCGCTAACTGTAAGTACTACATTGTACTACATGGAACCTGGTACACTGCTGGTGATACGTGTTTTGCTTGTTTACGTGTCTTGCCTGCTTCAACTTCATCTGCTTCTTGTGAAATCTATGTTCAACCAAAATTGATTAGCTTAGCTCAGCTTAGTTAGGTAGTTAGTTAGTTAGTTTGCTAGTTAGTTAGTCAGTCAGTCAGTCAGTTAGTTAGTTCGCTAGCTAGTTAGTTAGCGCGTCAGTCAGTCAGTCAGTCAGTTAGTTAGTTAGTTAGTTAGTTCGCTAGCTAGTTAGTTAGCCAGTTAATTAGCTAGTTGGTTAATTAGTTAGTTAGCTATTTCGACATAATGGACTGGACTAGCCCAGGATCTTAGAAGTGTACTCTTCGATCATCATCAGTTCGTTTTTCTGGTCGGTGCTATCGAAGCCTGACATGGTCGGATGGTGGCAGTGAGTGTGTCTTCCCTGGTGTGGTCCATGAAGTACCACAATGCAAATGGTGGACAATGGTTTGAACTGGACAGGGACAAAGACAAGGAACATAAGTTTATCCATTCTGATGCAAATGATCTTGTCATCCAGTAATGCCGTCTGCAAAGCATCAGAAATATATCCAATTTGTATTTTGCTCGACTGAAGGTGGAGCCGGATGGTCCCGTTGGTCCAAACTCATCCTCACCAGCAGCAGCTTCCTGATTCAAGCTGTGAGATCAAGATTGGTTATAATCAGTCAATCAGTCTCCTTAGTTTTTGTAGTTAGTATTAGTTAGCAGCAAACATCACACAGTTCCGCAACTCAACTAAGGTTCATTTCCCAACAGTTTGACAAAGTCGGCCAGATCCGTTTGCTGAAAGCTCTCTGTTGCAATCTTCAAGGATGATTGCAAGGCATAGTGAAAAGAATCCGTTTGGCGTAGTTCGAGGACCCTCAGTTGAATCAGTGTTGCTGTACTGGACCGCTGTAGGTATTTTTGAATTTGAACTGAACTTATGTCCAATCTCATAAAGTCCATTATATATATATTATTCATTATTCATTGCTAGTTAATATATATATATATATTAATATATACTTACTTATTACAGTAAGTTCCTTTTCTGTTGTCCGGGGTCCGGAGTCCAGAGTCTATAGTCCATGTCCACCACCACCGTTTTCGTTTTTGTAACCTATACTTCATGAGATGACATTCACTGTCTCTCACTCGCACTCTCACCCTGCCCTGTCACTGTCACCACAATTTTAGTGATGCCCATTCCCATTGCCCAGAAACAGACCCATGTATTTCACCAGTTGCCAAATGCTGTAGGCTCGTTGCCCTCCCTTCTTTCCCATGACGGTTGGAAGCAACTCCCTTTCCAGGTTCTGTCGCAGCTGGTCCTTCATGGTGTCTGCGACCTGTGCGCATGCATCAATGTACATCAATCTGTCCAATGTCCATTGTCCATGCAGTGGAATTCTCAGCAATATCTTGCCCATGCAATCTGATTTCTTGTTATTGTTTCCCAACCGCAACCAACCGGCTCACCAGCGCAGCCTTCATCAAAGGACAAAGTGCACCCATTGCTGCTCTGAATTTGTTCACCTAGCGAGAAATCAGAAAGTGCTGGCACCCTGACTCACCGACCTTCAATTTTCTTGTCCCACCACTACCACTCTGATTCACATCACATCACCTATTAAAGTGTCATGCCATTGTGACAGCAATCCACCCACCCATCCTCACCTCCTCTTGTGTACCATGAGACAATATCGGCTGTGCTGCGTCTAGTAGTTGATCATAGATGTAGGCAGCACTTGCAGCTACGTTCTCCATGCCAGCGCAGTGCTGCCGTTGCAGCTAGTAGATGAATCAGAACAAAACGCTGCTTTGCTGCCGTTGCTTCTAAAACACATTCCTGTTTTCATTCATGGTGGTTCTTTCTTTGTAGCCAAATTATCCCAACCACTGAACGACTCAACGCTGTGTGAACTATTTACTTGCTTTCTGACTTCTCTCTGTGCTTTAACTCCTTGCCATTGCCTTCCAATGTGTTTGAGCAAACCAATGTTATGTTGGGTCTGGCCCAGTGTCCAATGCGAAAGGTTCCATTCACTCAGTGCACCCTTATCAATGCCACTGAAGCCACAAACTCCAATCTTTACATACCTGATTAAATTGGTTAGCTGTGTATCAAACCCACCTTTACCATATCTTATTTATTTTTTTGCACTTTTCCCGGTGTAGGTTGTGCAAATTCACACTCCAAAAACCCAAAACCGAGTTTCGGAAATTCACGTGAAGAAATCATGACAGGATTCCTCCGTGCTTTTTTTTGGTACAAACAGACTAAAACGCACCGAACAAAGAGTCGAAACCACAAACCCAAAGGATCAGTCCAAGACCGGACGTTCCAGGGCTTGGTGTGATCGAACATGTCTTGTTTCGGAGCATGTCTTGTTGGCCCTTCTACCACGCACCGAGTCGAAAATGAAGATTCTTCCGGAACAGAATGCCAAGCGGCCGTTGTTGGAACGAGGACGTTCACCACGCGGACAGTAGGGAAGCCTTCCAACAAAGGCATCCGAGAGATGTGGAAGTTAAATTATCAAAACTAGTCTAGGGGGATCAACAAAACGTGCATATCCAGGATTGTATATGATTACGTACTGATTGCTTTCCTCTAGGAAACATTGAAGAAACCTCTGACAGGCAAGACTTTTCTTTGTCGCATGGTCCCTCCATGTCCGGCTTTCGCCCCTTACGGCCCCACCTTTGCACGTCATTGGGGCCACCAGGCGTTCCATCCAACCTCTGGTGCCGTCGGTCGGAGTTCCACTCCCCCAAAAAACATGCTTTTGGGGCTGGTTTGGACCCACCCTATTTGGGCGCGCCAAGATGCTTCAAAAGCTTTGGACCTTCTTCTGGATCGATTTCCACCTGCACCTCAGTGCTATGCGCATTTTGCGGATCCAGCACATCCAACTCTTGGATCCTCGAAGGAACCGCGGGCCTGCTGGCCACCAACTTCGACGATCGCCAGCTTTTCCTCATCCTTGGAACTGCCATCTCTCTTTCGAGTCTGTCTATGATGTGTGTTGAGACATACCAAAGACCAAGCGTCTTTGCTTGTGTTTCAACATATAATCTGATATAATATCATTTGTCATCGATAATTATCCTTCCCCTTTCTACTGTTTCTGAAAGTCTGACACGCAAACCCTCTTCATGACAAGCACGGCACTTTGACGCCAAAGGGCATTACCAGCAAGGACACTACTAGTAACAGGTCCATTTCTATTAGTAACAAGAAGCTAGTAGTAATAAGGGCCTCGCTACTAGGAGCAAGGACGCTACTAGTAGCTCCCGGCAGTACTACTAGCAACAAGCAGCTATTAGTAACAAGGGCATCGCTACTAGGAGCAAGGACGCTACTAGTAGCTCCTGGCAGTACTACTAGTAACAAGGGCATTGCTACTAGGAGCAAGGACGCTACTAGTAACAGGTGTATTTCTATTAGTAACAAGATAACAAGGGCATCCCTACTAGGAGCAAGGACGATACTAGCAGATCCTGGCATTACTACTAGTAACAAGATGCTACTAGTAAAAAGGGCATCGTTACTAGGAGCAAGGACGCTACTAGCAGATCCTGGCATTACTACTAGTAACAAGATGCTAGTAGTAAAAAGGGCATCGTTACTAGGAGCAAGGACGCTACTAGTAGCTCCTGGAAGTACTAGTAACAAGAGGCTACTAGTAACACGGGCATCGCTACTAGGAGCAAGGACGCTACTAGTAGCTCCGGGCAGTACTACTAGCAACAAGCAGCTACTAGTAACAAGGGCATCGCTACTAGGAGCCAGGACGCAAGGACGCTACTAGTAGCTCCTGGCATTACTACTAAGAAGAAGCTACTGGCAACACGGGCATCGCTACTAGGAACAAGGACGCTACTAGTAGCTCCTGGCATTACTACTAGTAGCAAGCAGCTACTAAGCCGCACTTCATGACCAGCACGGTCTGAGGCCGAAGGGCATACATGGTGCATCGCGACATGGTCGCAATCGCCGTGGTGGGAGCCATGGCGTCCGAGCGCGTCCGAGCTTCGTCAGGCGCTTGACCCGTCTTTGGAGAATTCCCGGCTGCACTTTGCACTGCAAGAGGGCCCTGTTCGAAGGTGTAGCATGATGTGATGTAGCCAGTTCGTAGGCAGTGCACTCTCAGCTTTTGATCGGTAACGCAGCGATGTTCAGGGACGACTGCAATGATTCTCGCGCTGAACTGTTGAACATCATCCAAAGCCAAGTATGATGCAAGACAATACCGTGTGTCATTTGAAGAAGTTGCTGCACCCCAAAGTGTGGAGTTTTGGATACTATCATCCGAGCCAACTTGACTCAAGGCAGGCTTGGTACGCTACGTACAACGGTACGTACACCAAAGCTTTGTCAAGAAAACGTCCCTAGTCCATCCATGTCCTCTGTTTCCTGCAAAGTTCTTCCCCACTGCTGTGCATGGGCAACCTCCAGCATGCCGTCGTACGCCTGGCACGGAAGCCTGGAACTGACTCACTCCTCCATCTGGCAATCCCGGATGTGGGTCAAGTGGCCGTGTACTGTGGAGTCTATAGTGGTCCCCAAATAGATAGAACTAATTGCTATCTAGTCACTAGTCACTAGTCTACTGGGATTTGCTTTGGTATCTATTCGAGGGTCACCAGCTCAGAACCCCCCTCAGTGGCTCAATTCTCAAGACCATAGATGTCACAAGCCCATATGCAGACTACCAGGAAGTGAGCCAAAATTATTCTTCACGTGGGTACTATATGTTGTATACAGTAAGTCTATTGAAATCCGCCAGAAAGACAAGACGCCATGTTTTACGCCATCCTTTCGCCTCGGTGCCCCAGAAGGCCAACGGGGACTGCCAGCTTGCCACACCAGACATCACCTCGGCACATCGCTCAAGTTGAGTGACGCGCAAAACGAAAAAGCGAACGGATGGAAATCACCAAAGGATGGCCATGGATGGCCATGGATTTTCTTCAAATGATTGACTAATTGGAGGCAATCCCGAAACATATACACATACTTAAATTTATATATATAATATATAATATAGATTATAGATATGACTAAGAAAATGTTCAAGCATATGAAAACAATTGGTCTAGTCTATTTTGGTTTCTTTCTGTTCGACTTCACCTCTCCCACCTTCTATGACGAACTATGGCAAGTCTTGAAAAATGTTGGCCTTGTGTGCAGGCCAAAGTCACTTGGTCACTTGCATCATCCAACAGTAAATGGGCTGTCTTCCAGTGATCCTGCCTGACGAAAAACGGCGATGAAGATCCAATCCACAGGGCTGTCGTTGTACCTGTCCACTGGAAGCTCAAGTACACAAAGGATGAATGTGTCATGAGTCCTGTTTTTTGCATTGGAACACAACATATCTTCAAAAATGCTCAGAAAGTCCTCAAATCGCCCACAAGTCACCAGGTTCATATCACATTTGAGACACTCAAGCTGTTTTTGACCCATCAAATGCACTCTGATCAGACTGCAAGTCGCAGGCGCGCGGTGTCAAAGGCCCTCCCAACGGATCCGTGGTCGGCGGAGACTCTCGCTGAGCCTCCAGAAAAGCCTGGACTCATTTGGACATAGGTGCATTTTTTCGGTAAACCGAGTTGAAAAAAATATATGATCCAATATGCTTTCTGTATACCTTCAACTTCAACCTTTCTGTGTTCTCAGTACTAAAGTATGTTCGATCCTCCGTCACGCGGTTCGACCCTCGGGGCACTTTTTCATCCGTGCGAACTGAGGGCTTCTTGGTTTGACGAGAATGCGCCCGCTTTTCCGGAAGGACGACTGGTTGGAAAAGATCCAAGCCGGAGCTTGTTTGCATCATCATCTTCGTGCCTCTAGGCTTTTGTAGCGGTTGTCACCTCGCAGAGGAAGATTGAGGCCAAACTCTTGGATCAGCCAAAGTTGGGGCCCTGCAACAAGTTCCAGCAGTTTTCTTGTGCTTCAGCAATTAGTTTGATCTGAGACCCTGGGGTCCGCACTGCCAGTTGCCTTCCTTCCAACCTTCAACAAACTGTGGATGGTGACTTGCAAAACAAGGCGTCAACATGACACCACTGGATGGATGGCGATTTGATCCCAACAATTTATACCGGGCTCGGGGCCATCCAAGTCCTGTCCAATGGACGGCCACCTGCTGACTACCCTATAGACATCCCTAGACTACCGAGGGATCTCCATATTGGACACCCATCAGGTGGCCCGCCTGCGATCCAGGTCGATGCGGAGGGCGACGACGTCGCGCCCGTGGGCTCCGCAGTAGTGTGGCGGCAGTCCATGTTGCGGCCACCTTGAAAACCCAATTAAGAGTCAGCCCTGGGTTGGGAAATCATGTGAAACCTGCTGCAGATCTGAAGAAAATGCAGCAAGACTGACATAGACCAAAGAAACTCAAGCTAAAATCCACTTTGGGCGCTTCCTCAAGTGGCTAAGATCTGCGAAGTATCCATGTCCAGGCCGGGCGATTTCACGGGTTGACCGCCCAAGTACCAGACCGAGGCTGACCACGTCGATCTGCTTCGGGTGCGTTCGGTCTGCCCTGGAGATCATTCGGAACTGACGAGGGCTTTAGATCCATGCTAGGCTATTAGATTATACAATTCTGTAGGTAATTCTGAAGAGAATGCTGTGTTTTCATGTACCCCATTGAAATTGCGAGAGTTCCGGTCCCAAAGCTTGAGGAGAGCGGGACCAGCTGACCACGTTGTCGCGCCTCGCACCGTGCCTCGCACGGGCGAAGAGGTCCTTTGAGGCGGATGAAAATGCGGAGCCGTGGCTGGAGCCAGTGCAACCAACTCCATGGAGTCTGCTTTGGTGCCAGTTGGAACCAGTGGGACTAATCAAGGTGGCTTGATGCGACTTGATGTGGCTTGTCTGGCTTGATGTGGCTTCCAGCTGAAAACCCTTCTCCGATTTTGGGTCTTTCCCAAACGACGTCTTTCCATGCGGAAGCTTTCTCTAGCTTCTCCCTAGCAGTTTGCAAAAGTCATCGATCATATATAATATTTGCAGCTGGGTGATGTGGGCGGAATCAGGTCTGACTCACTTATCTTCAGCTATAGACTTCCCCACGAGGAAGCTTTGAGCCGAGCTGCTCACAAATCAACAAATGCCATGTTGCACGACCCCCTGCCTCTCTTGGGCGCCGGTGAAACATCACCTTAACCCTCAAAACTGAGCATCTCAATGTCCTTAAATGTTCAGATGTTCAGGCAATCAAATGTTTGCCAGGTCCTTTTTGGATCTCCTGCGGGACCGGCGAAAATTGCTGTCTATCAGCAGTTCAAGTTGTTGGCCGTCACTCGCGAAAAGGTGCACTGCGTCGTGTCTATCTGCCGAGGCACCGCTTGAGAAGTGTGACCATTCTCTTGAAGGCTCTACACTACAAGGTTGTGGCTGGTACAGAAAGGAAAATTGAATTTAAAAAACAATATGAATGAATTATATTGAATTATGAATCCTACTATATATACTATACACAGTAAGGCCTCTAGTCACATCTAGGAAACTAGTGGAACCTTAGCAAGGGATGAAAACCATTGGTGGCGAAACTGTCTCTCCTCCCGGTTGATTCTGCGATAAATTGTATCACAATGCAAAACTCCCACGGTGGGAATCCGCTGCCTTACACAGGGCCTTCCACAATTCACGCAAATGCAAGTTCCATGTACCTGGCAACTTGTTTCTTCTTCTTCTTCAGACAAACAGTGTCTGCCAGCACAATAGGCATGTCTCAATCAAAGCTGTTCAGCAAACAAACTCACAAAACAGGCCAAGCAGGCCAAGTCGCTCATGAAACAGGAGCTGCTGTCCAAAGCATTTCAAGACTGGCCATCTGAAAAACTCGCTATCTCAAACAGTGGAAAAAGAAGTAACTTTACTTCGAGTGGTCCCCATCATGACACTTCAATCATGCGTGTTCTTGCCATGGTGAGGAGCATGTTGCCATGGTCGTGCGTTTTGTGGCTTTCGATTTTGGGGTCCTCGGTGTTAGGGAGTTCACGTCGGGGTGTCGCCAGGGTTCCAACAGTGCTACCCTGTGACCACTGCCACGCAAAATGCCACACGCACAGGCAATTATATTGTTGTGGTTGTGCGCTGTGGGCTTGTGGCTGTGGTTGTGGTTGTGCGTTTGTAGTTGTGATTGTGTGTTTGTGATTGTGTGTTGTGGTTGTGTTTTGTGGTTGTGTGTTGTGGTTGAGTCCTGCGGCTATGTGTTTGTGATTGCTTGTGGTTGTGATTGTGTGTCTGTGGTTGTGTGTTTGTGGGTGTGTGCTTGTCTGTGTTTGTGACTGTTGTTGTGGCCTTGGTTGGTGGTTGCGTGCTTGTGGTTGGTGGCTGTGTGGTTGATCTGGCGATTGCTGTTGAGGTCCGGCACTGCCCACTGCGATGTGGCGCCTGCGGTTGAGGTCCGGTAGTGCCCACTGCGATCTGGTGCTTGCGGTTGAGGTCCGGTGATCTGGGGCTTGCTGTTGAGGTTCTGGGCGGAGGAGAAGAACGAGGAGGAGAACTAGGCTATCTGTAAAGATCTAACAACCCTCACCTGACAGGTGGGGAAAGAAACACTATAGTCTATAGCCCACTCCTGATCTCGGGAAGAAGACCGAAGAAAAACCGGAGACTGCCCGAGACCCGCCCGCCTGGAACGCCTAGTCCTCGTGCTCCTCGAAGGGGTCTCGGAGGTCGGAAGCACCTGGTCTCGGAGGTTGGATTTTCGGTTCAAAAGAGAAAGGGATGAAGAAGTAACAAGGGAACTCCGTTTTCCGGCCCTCTCCTGAAAGATCACAAAGAAGACATGGTCATAGAATCTTAGAATACAAACACATCAGTATATATATATATATATAACTCTTCCCAAGGATATCCTGTGCCTCAATAATCCTGAACTTGTCTGGGTAGTAGGCTTTCTTTGTAGCTTTCTGCCCACAAGATGTCCAGCAATTAGTTAATGAGAGATATGGCATGCTCTGAGGCACCGCCATCACCTGTTATCTTGATCCCACAGCACTACACGTGCGACCAGCCAACTTGCAAGTCAAAAACAGAAGTAGCTCTTTCTTCCTGTTCTTCAACGTCCATGGCATCATGATGGGCCTGATCTAAACAAAGGGCCAGGGGCATCATAGATCCAACATTAAGCACCTTCTCTGTTGCATTTCCAGTCTCAAGGAGTCCACGTCCCGCCTGGGCCGAAGGCTGTCCACGTCGAGTAGCCCACGATGCCCACCTCAAGGATCGTCCCACCGACCAGAGACGCAGGGAGGCGAACCCCAACAAAGGGAAGACCGGGACCCTCTGTCACTGTCTCTTGGACTGTCACATGAGCACTACTAGTAGCGAAGCAGCGGAACATGCAAGAAGGACAAAGAAGATCACACGCCATGTTTTCACCGATGCGGCCATGAACGTAAAAAAAAGGTCTCGAGACGAAACTGCAGTGGGTCAAGTAGAGGTACCGTTCAAGTCGGGTGTGCTCGTGGTTGCAAAGCTGTGTGCTTGTACACGGCGTAGTGTGGGTGTGTGTGTGTGTCGCTTCAGCGATCCCTTTCTTGGAGATCTGATCGAAATCGGTGTTCCTTAGTTGCGTGCGCAAATGAGAAATCTCCCCTCATTGCTTTCAAGAGTAGATCGCGAGAAACACTACCTTTGGTCATTCCATCTGATAACATGTCTCTTGTATCACACCAGATCACATGATCTGGCGCACACTTAGTGACATCTCGAAGCCACATTAAATGTGGAAACAAAGATTTCTCTGCTGGCAATCGAGTCAAAGAACCTGTCCATGTGTCAAAGAGGTTCCGTGCGTCCACAACCACAGAAGTTCTAAACTTAAAGTTCGACCTTTCTCTGGCTGCTCGCAAACCCTCAGCGCTTAAAGGACAGGTCAGAATCTCTTGCAGGGATATTACGAGAGGAATCAATGAATTGACAGAACCTACGGCAGCGAGGGTCTCTGAACTAAAAGTACTTCTTGTTACAAGTTTAAGACTCTGGCTGCTGGCGTCGAGCAAATGACACTTCTGCTTTTGGTTTTCAAAACCCACTCGTAAAAAGACTGTGCCGCGGACACCGTATCCCTTTGTTTCTGATTCCTTACAGAATGAAGCATCTGAAAATACGATGATATGTCGCGAACATTGCATGAATGGATACACAATGCAAGCCTTTTGCTTCTTCAGTACTTTCACAAGTGAGTTCAACTTTCGGATGTGTTGGTATTTTGGTTTGTGGGTTTGTCGTTGCAAGGCTATCACGTACACTGCCAACCAGTGCTGAGTCAACAATGTGTACGCAACAGCTCCAAGCAGTGACCAGTACAATCTCATTACTGCCTCAGTGCAGTCTTCTTCGAGCGGTCGCCCAACCATGTCTGGATGGTGGATTGTACGAAGAGCTTGAATGTATTCGTTTTGATCTAGAGTGATTGTTCCGTTGGAGCTTCTTGAATGTCTGATTCCTACACAAGTGAAATGGTCGTCATTTCGATCGCTTTTACCAAAAGTTTCTTTCAAAGCATTAAGTAACAATTGCACTTCACTTTCTTCCCCAGCTATTTTGAGATCATCAACATGTTTTACGATGATGAGTACTAGGCGACCGTCTCTATGTTTTACCTCGCATTCAGGGTCCGCTGCTAGGGGTCTTAAGCCAACTCTATCGCTTCTAGTGACTCGTGCAAGCTTTAAACTAAATGCCTTTGGGGCGTCCTTGCAGCCCGTCCCTGGTTTCAGACATTTTAGTACATGAAAGCGTTCATCATAATGCTTATATTCCGGCAAAAGACGAAGGATGTGAGCTGATTGAGGTGGAACTGTGAAGTGAACCACCCTCTCGGCCTGCCCAGTGGCCTCAGCCATCTCTTTATATGTTACCCCTTGTAGGAAAGCTTTATTAATGTCTAATGAAAGGAAGGACCATTCCGGGTGGCAGGCTGCTTCTGACAGCAAAAGCTTTTGCGACAATCTGCTGCCTGTTGCTGAGTGATTATCCAAAGAGTCTGCACACCATTCTTTGAAACCTCTGAGCGCCATACGCATACGAATAATGCGGCTTTCATACGGTTTTTCAGGGTCCTTAACTTTCCATTTTGCTACGAACCTAGAATCGATGATGTTGGTTGCACCTTGCCTCGGCACCATCTTGAAGCACTTATAGTTATCCCAAATTTTGAACTCTTCAAAAATAGCTTCTTCTACCTTTTGCTTATGTTGAACAAGTTCTTCTTTGGTCAGTAAATCGGAAGCACGTTTCACCACTTCAACCTTGCTGCCTGTATGGTACATCTTGATGGCGAAGGCTTCATCTGCTCCAAGTTTGTCCGCGTCACCAAAACAATTTGCCATGTTCGGCAAAACCAACAACTCAGTGATTTGTGGTCCTTCTGGTCTAGTTGGTGGTTCCCCTATACTGAAGGTACTGATGTTTGAAACCAGAGTCATGTCTTCAGGAAAAACATATGGACTACCGGGGATTGTGTCATTTTGGTCGATGGGATGCGCAACAGTATCTTGATACAGAAACCACAAGTCCTTTAGCTCACCGGTATCATATTCGATGACCTCCCTATCGAAATGTTCTTCGACAAAAGCCATGAAAGCTGCGTGAGGTTCAGGTGTGTACTCGCTTTCGTTGGAACCCTCTTGAATGGTGGACAGCCTATCTCTATGGGTCTCCGGGACTATTATGTTCTCTAAGGCCTCTGTACCCGTTTGTGCAGCAGTGGCATCTACACTATCACAAAGACCTGAAGGGTTTGTACTGTTATGCACAAATTGGATGAAAGAGGCTCTTTCCCAATTGTCACCTATAATGTCAGGCATGTGCAAATACGGTCCTTCAGTACTTTGGATCAACGGATCTGACGAACGGCAGTTCAACCAAAACAGAAGTGTGGAATGCGTTGACTGGGGCATTGCTGCCACAGTCTTACAGCCCTTCCCAACTCTTATTGCATGACATTCGTCAAAGTGCCACACGTTTTCGACCATGTAATGCAGAGCTTGCAGTAAAGGACCGTGTTGACCTGTTGCATGTGTGAAATGGGCCTCGCCCTCGGGCGCGGCGATCAACCCTAAGGTGACATATTTTTTCCACGGCAACGATTCGATACACCTCTTGATGACACTGACAGCTTCCACAGTTGTCAGGCTGGCAAAAAGGTGAAAAGATATTACTGCATACAGTGTATGTCGAACATCCTGCAAGCGGCACGGTCTGGGTTTACCGTGAATCTGGACTATCACTATGCCCTCTTCAGGTTTAGATTCCACTACCTCTACAGGTCCTTGCCAACCCGTGACGTCCTTGCCGGTGGGTCGATGGTAGTCTACAAGATCACCCTTATGATATGGAGTCTCTGTAGCGGCTACGGCCTTGGCTCTGAGTGCCCGATTGGTTCGGGCAAGGCTGGTTGCTTGAATCATGGATTCAAGAGCGACTGTTCTGACTTTATGTCTAGCCTGCTCTGAAATGGGATCAAGTTCAAGCTCGGCACCGTCATCGTCGGGCACAGGAGGCATCATTGCAGGCGTTCTGCCATAGATGCACTGATAAGGCGTCGCGCCTCCAACATGTATCAACGCGTTTCCGGCAAAAACTGCTTCTGAAAGAAGGGAGTCCATGTTCGTTTGCACACCTTCTCGAACAAGTTGGCTCTCAATGCAATGCAATGTTGTTCTTAAAATGGCTCCTCTCCGCTCTATGAAACGGGCGTGCTGTCCTGGTGCCCTAATCTTTAAGCTTATGCCTAACCTCTTTAATTTAGCTTGTGCTGAATCACCAGTGATGCCCAATTCTCCGTCACTTATTAACTGCTGCATGCGGCCATGGATGCTTAGCCAAATTTTGTGCATTGCACTTAGAAGTTCTTCTTCTTGTCGAGACCGAACTAAAGCTGCAGCGTGCCATCGTGTAGCGCAGCAAATCATGTGGAATATCGTGTGTTCCTTGTAGAACATGAGGTCCACTTCAACGTGTTCGTTGAACGCTGTGCTCATTCTCATGGTAGGAATGGTCTTGTTGGCTGGCCTAGCCCAAGCACGACATTCACGGCACGTGTCAACTACCTGAGTCACCTTGTTCAAAATTGAGGCCGGCAGGCCAGCTGAGTGCAGCACTCGTCGCATAGCCTCTTTGCTGCAGTGCCACCACCTGAGATGCAATTTCCGCAATTTGCGCATCTGCGTGTCAGGTGATCCCACTGACAAGGCCTTCAATGATCTGCCAACATTGAAACGAGTCCAATCACTGTGGTGTTCCGTGCCTTCAGCAGCGTCACGAAAAGTCCGACGGCTTCTTTCTGCAAATTCTCTAGTTGGTTCGGGTCGATCAATAGGGACTATATCCATGGTGGTTGTGAGAAAAGGCGTCAAGTCTACATCCTTTGATGGGTGGAAAATGGTGATTGACAGGTCGGCCAATCCGGGGAGGATGGCAGCAGGATTATCCAATTCACCAAGATTAACGGCCAATTCCAATTGATACCATCGTGGGCCTACTCTGATCCACGTAGTGCGAAAACGGCAATGCTCAAATTCTTTCCTTGGCAGTGCAAAGTTTGCGGCCTTGGCAATGATCAATGCAGGGTCGCCGTTGCACGCAGTGGCCCACGAGCGCAGGTCACTGAGGCGAAGGATTTCGGGCGGAGGTCGCTGAGCCACCTTCCCATCATGTGTGACTGCTCTCTCATGCGCGCGATGTTCGTCCACTTCTCCTAAATCACTCCCGTCAGGGAGCTGCGGCTGCAAATCGGCAGAAACGGATGCCGAAGCAGGCCTGGCTGGCGCTCTTGGATGCTTACCTGTTCTTGGGACCCCTACACGATGTGAAAGGACAGCGCGCTTGCAGTCAGGACCATGCGTATGGTCCGGATGTCCAAATGGTCGATGCTTCTTGCAGGCAGGACAATCCCAGATGACCGGCGTCACATCCGGCCACAAGCACTCACCTATCATTCTTGTATGTCTAGGGTCGAATTTAGATTGTCCTCGGCAACCCGGGCAACGACGCCAAGATTGTTGCGCATCATCTTCTACGTCAGCCGCGCTCGTGCCCCTGGTCGGGTACGCTTGTTCAGGTGCAGGGTACGAGGTCATGAGGTGAATTTTCAATTTGATGATTCCCTCGCAAACCTTCTGAGCCAATGCCCAGGGCCAAACTTCGCACCTTTTGGACCTGCCACCATCTAGAGATTCATGTTTGTGCCTGCGATCACATTGGCATGAC